GAAAATAAACAATGAGATCAACATAATTATCTCGATTATGAACATAATACTGTTATATACTATACGGTTATGAGTTTTGTCATGTTAAACATAAATAAAAATAATTATACATAGTTTATGACTACTTCTTGGCTTTGTAATTCACTAACAAATCAACAATATAAAGAATTATATTATATTATACCAGAAATGAGAGCAGAACATGAACTCGAATTAAATATATACTTATCGTTAATTTTAAAAGACCTTATTACAGAAAAAAATAAACAAATAAATTCTATCGATCTAGCTATAACAAATCAAAAAGACATTGAGAGTCAATCTAAATAGTGCAAAAAATGCAACACAACTAATATAGACAATAAAAAATGTAATTGCCCTTAGTATAACGAGAAATTGGATACGTTGGCTACTTTACAAGCAGAATTGGTTAGCGAAATTAATGATACACCTCAATCAAAATCTCTCATAATAAGGTCTCATACATATGCTCAGGAAAAAAAGAGTTTATTTTTCGAGCATGTTAGCATTACACAACGATCAGAACCAAAACATAATGTAATCATTCTAGAAATGCACGTACTGGATCTATTAGAACTTAATCCCAATTCAGTAAATAATATTAGAAAAATTTTTGAATATATACAGGATATTGTAGAAATAAGTCAAGGAATGCGAAAATGGTTACCAGTTGTTTGTGATGGTATTCTGTATAATCTAGCTCAAAAGATTAAGAAGGACTTTCCATGGCTTATACTAATTCCTAGGGCCTTGCATGAAGAAATAAATATGCTCAAAGCATTCATAGAATTAAATTGGTATAATTTTTTTTTTTTGTCTATATTAGTTGTGTTGCATTTTTTGCACTATTTAAATTGGTATAATTTTTTTTTTTTTGTTGATGTAGTAAAATAAATCATATCTTTCATTAAAGAATCACAATGGTCTGTCATTCTGGTTTAATATATTTACTTTAAGAGAAATTGATATCAAACAGTTCACGATTTTTCAAGGATACAGAACCGAAAACCAACTTAAATTTTTTAAAAAATGTATGGACCATTACAAGTTGTGAGACTCTATCTGCAATATTTATCGGCATGCTGTAACGTGTGAATTATTATAGCCATATGTAGTTGCAAGCGAAAACCTTTCAGTTGATGGCTATCTTGATTGGGCAAAAAAGCAAAATGATCATATATATAAACTAAAATTTGAACAAGTAAGATTTTTAATAAATAATTAAAATATATCT